AATATCAAAAGGCTGCGACAGAAAAATTTCGAATTTGCTAATAAATCTGGCAGATGGCTCGCGTGGCAAATTAGGAAAAGAAAGGAGCAAAGCACAATCAATAAAATTTTCTTAGATGGAGAAGAAGTAGAAAATCCCAAAGCTATTAGAAAAGGATTCTTGGATTTCTATAAACACCTATATAACAACAGAGAAAAGAATAACATGAAGAAAATAGAAAGATTTTTAAAAGAAAAAAGTGTGCAAAAGATCCCGACAGACAAGAAAGACCGACTAAATGCTCCAATTGTAAACGAGGAAATTATCGATATAATAAAAGAACTGAAGAAAGGGAAGGCACCAGGACCAGATGGCTTAACATCTAGCTATTATAAAGAACTAAGGCACGCCATAATAGTACCACTAAAGGAAGTTATGAACAATATATTGAAAAAACAGGAAATCCCGGGAACGTGGAAAGAGGCCTTCATTACACTCATTCCCAAGCAAGATTCCGATTTGACACAAGTAAAGAATTATAGGCCAATATCTCTGCTGAACACAGACTATAAGATCTTTGCTGGTATATTAGCAAAAAGACTGAAGAAGATATTACAGGAAGTAATACATGTTGATCAGGCAGGCTTCCTCCCGGGCAGACAGATGAAAGATAACGTTAGGAATATAATAAATATTTTGGAATACCTGTCTGCACGGAATGAGAAGCAAGCCTTATTAATGTTCGTGGACGCAGAGAAGGCCTTCGATAATTTATCGTGGGAATTTATGCTAAAAAATTTAGAAATGATGGAGGTTGGGAATGACTTCTACAATGGAATAAGGGCTATCTACTCTGAACAAAGAGCAAAATTGATTGTGAATAATATACACACTGAAGAATTTAAGATATTGAAAGGTACTAGGCAGGGGTGCCCTCTTTCGCCGTTGTTATTTATAACAGTTCTGGAAGTTCTTCTAGGTTCAATAAGGAATAATGATAAAATAAAAGGAGTGACAGTCGGCAAAAATGAATACAAGGTTAAAGCCTTCGCCGACGATATTGTAATAACGATTGAAGAACCTAAAAATAGTTTAAATGAGGTCTTGGAGGAAATTGACCAGTTCGGTAGAGTGGCGGGCTTCACGTTAAATAAGAAGAAAACAAAAATAATGGTTAAGAACATAGACCAGGGCACAATGGAGGAACTGCAGCGAGAATCAGGGATTGACATGGCAAAAAAGGTAAAATATTTGGGAATATGGCTGACCTCAAAAAACATCGACTTATATCAGAACAACTATATCCAGGTGTGGAATGGAATTAAGAAAGATCTAGAAACTTGGGGTAGAATGAAACTGTCCTTTTGGGGCAGAATTTCAATGATCAAAATGTGCGTGCTCCCAAAGATGATATTTTTGTTTCAAATGATCCCTATAATTAGGGGAACAAGTGTATTTAAAGAATGGCAGAGAACGCTTACGAGATACATCTGGCAGGGCAAAAAGCCAAGAATTCAATTCAAATTACTAACGGATGCCAAGGAAAGAGGCGGCTTTGCCATGCCGGACCTAAAACTATATTACGAGGCGTCTTCTCTTTGCTGGCTAAAGGAGTGGATAAAATTAAATAACAACAAATTATTAGATCTAGAGGGCTTCGATAATAGGTTCGGGTGGCACGCCTACTTATGGTTGGAGAAGAGGAAAGTCCATAAAGGTTTCATTAATCATGTCATTAGGGGTTCCTTAATAGAGGTCTGGGATAGATACAAAAACATTTTGGAATTCAAAGTCCCGCACTGGCTGTCACCATTAGAGGTAATGTCGGTAAAAAAGATTAACATGAGGCCAAACTGGATAACATATGGAGAATTGGTAGTGAAAGAGGGGGAGAAATGGAAATTTAGGCCATACGAACAAGTTAAAGACCAGGTTTATGATTGGCTGCACTACTTCCAAGCAAATGCAATGTTTAATAAAGATCTTAAAGAAAGGGGTTATATAGAAAAAGCGTCTAAATTCCAATTAGAAATAATTGACAATGATGATAAGATAATCTCGAAAATGTATAGAATACTTTTAGAATGGCAAACCAAAGACGAGGAGGTAAAGGCGGTCATGATTAAATGGGCCAGGGACTTTGGTTATAACATACAATTAGAGGATTGGGAAAAGGTGTGGAATGAAAATATGAAATTTACTGCATGTACAGCACTAAAGGAAAACATAATGAAGATGGTGTACAGGTGGTATATTACACCGACAAAACTAGCGAAAATGTATAAGACATGTAACAGGTGCTGGAAATGCAAAGAAAAAGAAGGATCTTTCTTTCACATGTGGTGGGATTGCAGGAAGGTAAGGGGATTTTGGGACTTGATTTATGGAGAATTGAAAAGGATGCTTAAATACTCGTTTGTTAAGAAACCAGAATCATTCTTGCTAGGAATAACAGGAAGAGAGATAAGAAGACGAGACCACAAACTGTTTCAGTATGCTGTCACAGCGGCAAGAACACTAATGGCCCAGAGGTGGAGACAGGAGGAACTGCCAACTCTACATGAATGGAGGATGAAACTCACAGATTATGCGGAACTGGATAAGATGACTGGAAGAATAAGATACCAAAAAGATCAAAAATTCACTGAGGACTGGGAAAAGTTTGCGGAATATCTGGGAACTGTATGTGATCAACAAACAACGCTAGTGGGGTTCAAAGAGACTTTGTAACATTCTAAGGTATATTGCAAGACAGAATTAGAGAGGTGAAGGTTAAGGGTAAATCGGCAATAGTATATAGAAAATGCGGGAAAATAAAGAAAATGGATGACTGGGGGAGGTGCTGGTGGAGGCTCAAAAATTGTAAATTTGTAAGCATGGTTGTAACCAATATAAGTAAAAGGAAAACTTAATAAAAACTTAAGTTCAAAAAAAAAAAAAAAAAGCCTGCAACTCACACACATTTAACTCGTGAGCTTTAAGCGCTTGGCAATTTATTTATTTTTTAACAATTAAAAGAAGGGAAGAAAGGAGGCAGGCATCTGGGAAGAAAAGACTTTGGCATTCCCACTTGCCATTGTACCCAGTGTGTTTTTGACCAAATGCATTTTGGCTTTAGGTGCAATCCCCAGAATGTGGGACTTACTGTAATTATTTTCAAAATGTGCAGTAAGAAACATCAAGTAAGGGTGAAAATAAATTACTGCCAGGCAAGATATAGTCTGAAAACTCACACTCAAGGTTCTTGAAAGACACTGGGAGTTATGAGCCATTATTTAGAAACAACTCTCCTATGATTCAGATACCAGAAAGCAAAAGAACCTCTCACTGTAGTTAAACAGAGGGTGATATGCAACATTTGTCATATTCAGAGGAGGCTTAAAGCCACTGATTTCAAAATGACTAATGCTGGATATCAGGGAATTCAGCCAAGTGAAAGGAATTTCTAAAGGGAGAGATTACAGCACACGCTTAGCTCTCCTATTGTGAGATAACTTTACACAGCTAATTACCAAAGTGATTTGGGAAGTCTGACATGCTTTCAGAGAATGGAATTTAACAAATACTTTAAAAAAAAAACAACTAAAAAAACTGAGGTAAGTCTGCTGCTGAGAAAGTGTTTTAACCAAATCAAGTCAGACCTCCCGTTTCATACTGTGAGGAATATACAATGTGTGGTCCATGCCAACAAACCCAGGAAACAATTTTATTGAACCAAATTTGGGTCACAGTAATTGCACAAGTTTATGACTCATTCCAAGGAGTAAATTTATTTTATTTCTCACATTTTGGAAATGACATTTCCAAAGGACATACAGCAATCAGTTAGGAGAGCACTGTCTTTTATTCTTGCTGTAACAATAAACAAAGCCAGTCATTTCATTTCGTCCTGAGGAAAGTGAGAGCACTTTTCAACGCTGGCTTGAAAACCACTGTGAATTGACATGTTACAGCACTGGACAGGTTACTCAGCACTAATGACAGCTTTTAGTTGTCCTACGTCGCTTTATAGATCCAAGTCCTTTTTTAAAACCTAGTATTAATCCTGCCATTATTTAAACAAAGGCTGTGGCTGAATTCTTGCAAAGAGTGAGATGTGATTGCAGGGAATAAAATGGACAAATATCCTCTGTCGCCAAGAACAACAACCAGCTTGATACTGGGAATTTCTGCCTCATCCTATGCAGGTTTACTCAGAAACCCATCCCAGTGTGGGACTTACATCCAAGTGTGCATAGGATTGCTGCCTGAGGAATAAAATAAACCTTGCAAAAATCTTCTCAGACGTTGTCCCATTCAGTTCAATGGAGCTTGTTCCCAGATAAGTGGGTACAGTGGTACCTAGGTTGTTGAATGGCTTGTCTCCTCAACAAGTCGGCTCCCGAACGCCGCAAACCCAGAAGTGAGTGTTCCAGTTAGCAAATGTTTCTTGGAAGCCAAACATCTGATGCGGCTTCTGATTGAGTGCAGGAAGCTTCTGCAGCCAACTGGAAGCTGCGCCTTGGTTTTCAAACGGTTCCTGGAGTCGAACGGAAGCCCAGAATGGATTAAGTTTGACAACCAAGGTACCACTGTATTGGAATGCAGCCTAAATAGCTTCCTTTTAACAGGAGTCTCCCTCCACATAGATTTCTTTCCCATTAACTGAACTGCAGGTGAAGGAGACCGATCCACTTTAACAGCTTGGGAAACCAATCAAGCTCATCTTACTGTCTGCAATCAGTTTCATTTCTCTGAATAGCCTGAGATTTTAAAAAGTTTTAAAGAAGAAATGGAATAAGCTGGAGGATTTCCAGTGTGGAACTTCTGAGTAATAAATCAAAGACACAACCCCTACACTTGTACTACTTGCAATTTGTCATTCACTTCTGAAATGCTGACAGCACATTCAGCATCCAGACACAAAACAGAATAATTGTTATTGTTTTCTTATGATGATTTGCAGGGTCATCTTTCATTGAGGAACAAGTGGCTCAGAACATTAAACAGTGCATGAGAAATTGATTTCTACTATCACTCACCTGTGGGCTGGACAGCGCCCTGACGGCATTCAGATCAGACCCTGAACAAAAAGTGTTTGCTGCACCACGGACAATCAGCCCTTTTCCATCCGTCCAGTTTTCCAATTCAGCAACCCTCTCCTGTAGCTCTAGCATCATCACACCTGCCACCAAAAGAAGGAGCATGTGAGGGTCACCTTTAGAATGCATTTTATTAGAAAAACTAGTTTGAAAACTTCACAATTATATGGTTCTATGATAGTGGCAGAAAGTGAGGAGGAATTAAAGAACCTTTTAATGAGGGTGAAAGAGGAGAGCGCAAAATATGGTCTGAAGCTCAACATCAAAAAAACTAAGGTCATGGCCACTGGTCCCATCACCTCCTGGCAAATAGAAGGGGAAGAAATGGAGGCAGTGAGAGATTTTACTTTCTTGGGCTCCATGATCACTGCAGATGGTGACAGCAGTCATGAAATTAAAAGACGCCTGCTCCTTGGGAGAAAGGCGATGGCAAACCTAGACAGCATCTTAAAAAGCAGAGACATCACCTTGCCAACAAAGGTCCGTATAGTTAAAGCCATGGTTTTCCCAGTAGTGATGTATGGAAGTGAGAGCTGGACCATGAAGAGGGCTGATCGCCGAAGAGTTGATGCTTTTGAATTGTGGTGCTGGAGGAGACTCTTGAGAGTCCCATGGACTGCAAGAAGATCAAACACATCCATTCTTAAGGAAATCAGCCCTGAGTGCTCACTGGAAGGACAGATCGTGAAGCTGAGGCTCCAATACTTTGGCCACCTCATGAGAAGAGAAGACTCCCTGGAGAAGACCCTGATGTTGGGAAAGATGGAGGGCACAAGGAGAAGGGGACGACAGAGGGCAAGATGGTTGGACAGTGTTCTCGAAGCTACAAACATGAGTCTGACCAAACTGCGGGAGGCAGTGGAAGACAGAAGTGCCTGGCGTGCTTTGGTCCATGGGGTCACAAAGAGTCGGACACGACTAAACGACTAAACAACAACAATGATAATGACATATGATTCTATATGAAAAGGCTATACTATCAGCATCTATACTTTCTATTTTTTAAAAAACAGAACTCCTATTCTTTGGGGACTCCAGGATTCTGTCCTGGCTGCACCTCTTTACCACGCACTTTAGAAAGTGCCGGTTGAATGAAAATGCTAAGTGTCCCTCCAGGGGAATGGCTGGGTAGGGGTCCACCAACCTTTTTTTAAGCCAATGGGCACATCTGGAATTTTGAGGAAGTGCTGTGGGTGCCAGTCACATGCCGAAGGGCATATAGTCTCACAAAACAATGCTGTGGAGTGTGACGTAACATGAAATGGCTGCTAGGAGAGCATGATATAATGGCTTACACATCTTTTTTAAAAAAACAACAACAACAACAACCAGAAAAAGAGACAGGACTAACCACAAAATCATGCTGGCCACACACACACAACCTCCCAGAGGAAAAGCATTATAAGTCACTGCTCTACATGCTCACATGTAGATGCTCCTTGCACTTCTCTAGTGAATTTTCGTCTCTCTTGGTAAACTTGTGGCTTGACACTTTTAAAACCCCGCCAGATGATTTAATGGATTCTCAATATGGTATATTTATTGATTTGAATCCTTTATTAATTTATTTATTAGTATCCTATCCAAACTCTTGAAAGAATGTAAGCGTGCAGTGGCCAAACGCCAGCCAATGGGAGAATGTATCAGTATTCCAGGGTCTCCACTGTTATAAGTTTCTAGCTGTAATTCACAGTGAGAGGACTTGACCTATGATTTCCTAAATCCTCCACCCCTGTGGTCATATTTCAGTCTCCATGGTCAGCAGTGATTAACCCCTTTAATGCCAAATACAGCACACAGGTCTATAGAAAACTACTTGTCCAGCTGTTATGCCCTTTCTCTGGAACACTGAGGATGTCAGAGCAACTTCCAGAAGCAATACAAGACATTTTGGGTTTTTTATCCATGCTGGCATTCAGTAGTAATTTCTAGATCAGAATTTGGTTAATCCACCTGCATTTCTATATTGGAAATCCTTATGAATATTGCTTTGGACTTGGAGCTTTAGGAAAAGACCAGGCTATGAATTTAAATAAACCAAGAATTAAGTACATTTGGGCAGATATATAAAACAAAGAGAAAAGAACTGGGGCATCTGGCTTCAGGCTCACTGAACTGTTGTGACAAAAGGCTTTTTCAACATCTAAAGTGTGGTATTACAGAGTCCCTGTGAAGAACACGACCCATTTAAAATCTCTGTGATTGCAAGATAATTCTCATCACATCTGAAGGCAAGTGTTAAGGAGTCATTTCTGCCTTTGCACATACTTAAGAGGAAGCAAACACATATTATTAAATGCATTAATAATTAAGAAAGCATTCACTTATTTGCTATATTAGACACCCAATAGCTATCACTCTCTGGGCATCATACAAAGAGGAGAGAGAGAGAAAATATAACTATACATAACAAATTGCAAAAACCATCCACAACACATTGCTAATACCTGTAAACGCATTCATAAACCTTGGGTTGTTCAATGTCAGTATCCCAATCCCATCATCTTCTTTAGAAAGGTCAACAGATCCACCTGCAAATTGCTGAAGCTTCTTCTTTATTTTCTCCTCCTCAAAACCATGAGTATGGCTATGGAGAGACATACTCACTTGTGGCAATAATCTGCCATGAGTAATTCGATGAAAACTCTTCCATAGTAAAATGGTCATTTCTGGAAAGGAGCACAGAGGAGAAATCAATCCAGGTTGATGATGCCTAACTGCATCTTATTTTTCAGACCTATCTAAACAAAATAAAAAAATTCCTTCCAGTAGCACCTTAGAGACCAACTAAGTTTGATATTGGTATGAGCTTTCGTGTGTATGCACACTTCTTCAGATACACTGAAACAGAAGTCACCAGGCCCTTATATATAGTGAGAGGGTGGGGAGGGGTATTACTCAGAAGGGTGGTGGGAATGGGTGATTGGCTGATAGGTGTCATCCACACCTATTCAGCTACCTGAAGGTACAGGTATATCCCTATATGAGCCTGCCTGGGTGTCAACATCTTCAGTGAGGGGCCTTCCTCTTGGCTCCACCACCCTTACAGACACATTTGGTGGGGACACGAGAGAGGGCCTTCTTGGTAGCTGCTCCCACAGAAGGCTAGGCTGGCCCCCTCTCTGCTTTCCTTTCGTTGACAAAGACTTTTTTGTTTGGGCAGGCCTTTGGCCACTAATTGGCTGTTGCAGCAGGGTCTTTTAATGGCCGGTTTAGTATGTTTATTTTCTGCTTCTCTTGTTGCATTTTCAAACAGTTTTATGTTATTTTGATTCAGCGCTGCTTTTAATATAGAATCTTATTTAATAGTTGCTATTATTTTTTACTATTTATAACTAACTGGTTAGTTTTTTTAGCTGTATCTGTTTCTAATTCATGTTGCAAGCCGCCTTGGGTCCAGCACTGAAAGAAAGACAAAATATAAATAAAAATAACTTTTAAACAAGTCAAAGGGCAGGCAGCAAATGTGGACATTACAGCCAGGTGATGCTCAGGAGTCATGAACAGCAAATCACACAATACAAGGTATTATCACAGAATTAATTTTCTTTCCCCGCACCCCACCCCTCTTCTCTAATGCTAGTCACTGGCACACCATGATTTGGGTCAAGCACAAAAAGATTGATATTTTCAGATTAATCTGAAAAACACAACTGCCCCGGAAAGTCTGATGTCTATTAAGATATTAATATTCTATTTTGAATAGAGTTCTTAATTTATGGAATGTCTGACATTTTATCTTGCAGGCGTTCAGCAATATAAATGGCCAATTAGCATTTTCATAATGCCTCCTTGATTTATTCCACATGAAACCAACCAAGTGTGTTTTGAAGTTCTCCAGCAATAACTAGGTCACCCCTTGAAATTTTTGCCATAAGTCTAGTAAAGCATAACCACTAATAGTTTGACACCAACACCAAGAACCCAGTCAGACATCAGCACCACTCCCTAGCCACAGTCCCCACCTTCTCTACTAAACTATGCCTACTCAATGGCTTTGCTATACTGTATGAATGCTGGAGAAAAACCAGCAACTTTAATTGTTATGTTGCTACTGCTACATATAAACATTCCCCTATAGCTTCCAGTTACTACTATAAGATTAGCAAATTTGATAAAATGGGATTAGCACTCATGTACATCCCGAGTAGACTGAAGCTGGGAATCACTGAAAATCACCTCTTCCTGCCTTCCACCAGTGAACCAAGGAAGATAGGAATGTCTTATACCAAGTCACATCATGGGCCTATGAAGCTCAGTATTGCCTTGAATGAATATCAGCAGCTATCCAGGGTTTTACTCAGCCCTATGTAGACATGGGTGGGATGTGGGTGGAGCTATGGGTAAAACCTCAGTGCCTAGGACTTGCCGATCGCATGGTCGGCGGTTCGAATCCCCGCGGCGGGGTGCGCTCCCGTTGCTCGGTCCCAGCGCCTGCCAACCTAGCAGTTCAAAAGCACCCCCGGGTGCAAGTAGATAAATAGGGACCGCTTACTAGCGGGAAGGTAAACGGCGTTTCCGTGCGCGGCTCTGGCTCGCCAGAGCAGCTTCGTCACGCTGGCCACGTGACCCGGAAGTGTCTGCAGACAGCGCTGGCTCCCGGCCTATAGAGTGAGATGGCGCACAACGCTAGAGTCTGTCAAGACTGGCCCTTACGGGCAGGGGTACCTTTACCTTTTACCTTTACATCCCAAGTAGGTTCACAAAGTATTCATATGAAAAACCATGGTGCCTGGGTGATGCCTTTTAAAATATCTATTGGATTTATTCTAACCAGATACTCCATTGTTTGCATGTATTCCACTGACATCTCCAATTTAAATAATGATAATCTTGTATCACTGTTCCTTGATTTATTATTTTAAATTGCTTTTATTTTATCTCAGTTGCCCTGATAGAAGCTATTGGGTACTTTCTTTCTCTCTCTCTCTCTCTCTCTCCTTTTTTTTAAACTTGGAGGGCCTGTTAGGCATTTCATTAACAAAACAGATGAGTAAGTCTGAAGGTATATGTTAAAATCAGCATTCTTCCTAGTTATTTCCCCAGCAAAGTGACTTTCTACCTAACCTAGTTTTCACCTGCAACTGCTAAGGTTTTCAAATCCCATTCAGGAAAAGCAAACCCTGCAGCATTCGGGGGACGGGACTCCCCCCCAATACAGAGCCATCTTTAAAGGATATGAAGATTCACGCCCAAATACCGTCCACAAAGCTACCCTTCGATAATTGATTTGTTTCCACAAACAGAATGATTAAGGTACTGTACAGTATTTGTAAAGACAACATCTTTCTGTTTCAGAGTTAGGCTCTGAGGCTTCCTGAATTAATACCTGGCAAAGTTCCCCCATCCCTGCAAGATTCATGAACCTAAAACACCAAAGTGCTGGAAGTTTTCTGCTTTTTAGTTATTAAGAGAGATTATATTATAACCCAGCAAAACCCTTACTTTCCTTTCCCTCTGGTAATAGCTAAGAGGAAAAGTTCTCAGCTTTTAGACCAATAAAAACTGGAATGGGCAAAGGTATTTTTTCCCCATTCAGTTTTCCCTCTGAACAAGACACGCTTCGCCTAACCTAAATGAGAAAAAAGGAGATGAAGATAGCAATCACCACCAAAAATTACATCTGCTCTCTTTATTGTTTTTCCTTTTATCTAACTTAACATATATTTCACTTCCCTAATTTCATCCATTTCTTTTTCCCCACAGGCATCATTACTTTGAAGTGTTCAGTTTTTTGGATGGCAAACCAAGTGCTTTCAGATTTACATAGAATTCATTTGTTCTCTCTCTTTCATGTTCTATTGAGATTTTGGATTTTCTTTAGCCAACTGAAAGCCCACACATCTCTTGGCCTGGTTTGAGGAAAAGTTAGAGGCAAAATATTCCACATGGAGTTTTATGGTTGTTTTTCATGATGGTAGTGACTCCCTCGTTAATTAATAAAATTATTTACTTTTGCTGTTATTTATTTTCAAATGAATAATTTCTCTTTCTTTCTTTCTCTTTCCGAAGAGGGCTGATAACATCAGAACATCTATGTACACCATTTTTTTTCAGATGAATTCGTATTTACTTTTTACCCTAACACTTATTTTGAGTATTTATAAATTGCCTCTATATATTTAAAAGAATCCAACATGGTTCACAGCACACATTTTTAACAGCCAGATACAAAACCCCACATTTGCTTCCCTACCCACATAAATTCATCTGAAAATGAATGATAATCTCCCTTCTCTCCAGAACTATAATCCTAGCTAAAAATAAATATTGAGTTCATTTGAAGGATAGGTGACAACCGATTTTTTAAAAAAAAAACAATCACGCAAAATATCTTATTTAGAATTCAGTCAAATATAAATCAAAAGCTATAAACCACAATTGAGATTTATTATTTATTTCATTTATTATCCACCCATAAGCCTAAGGTACCAAGGTAGGGCACAAGCATTTAAAATACAGCATTAAAAACAGTTTAAACTATATGACAATCACAAAAATAGGGTGGGTCCTAAAAATACGCATCTCAAGTGTCAAAGGGCAGCGTAAAGAGGTGCATATTCAGCATTCAGTGTAAACTGTACAGTGAAGGCATCAGGCACGTTCTGTGAAGAGGGAGTTCCACAGCTTATGGGTTGCTACAGAGAAGCCCCTCTCCTGGGCTGCTCCCCCCCAAAAAAAAAATCTGGGGCAGCAGAACGACCAAGAGGGCGCCCTTTGCTGATCTTAACATTTGAGAGGGTCTGTAAGTAAGAAGGCAATCTTTCATATATTTGGGGCCTACCACATTTAGGGCTTTAGACACCAACATGTGTACCTTGGATTGGGCCCCAAAACTAACCAACAACAGATGCAGCTGTTCTAAGAGGAGGCTTACTGTTACATGCCACTCTGATTTCCAAGCAGTGAAAGATGCCAGAGGTTCCAGCGGTTACTCAGGATTTGGTATCCTTGGAATATTTATTTACACATATATACAACCTGGGCAGAGGTTGGAGGGGTTCACAGAATTAACACCCCAACAGATCTTGCTTCTCCGCTCTGAATGAATGAATGAATCTTTATTTGCATCAGCCATTGGCCATAGCAATAAAACAACAATACAATATACAAATAACAGAAATAAAGTCAATTATATCAAATACATTTTAGGGTTTTGAATCAATAGTCAAATAGTGGATCTTATTCTGATTGCCCCAGCTAAAATCCTTGCAACCTTTGCTGTCACCTGCTCATCTTGATCTGCCAAGAGAAAGAACACTGTGGCAGTGGCTGGGCAACCCGGAATGGGCAATAAAAGAGGGGTGATAATCTCATTCCTCAAGTCTTTATAAAGAGTGCAAGCGACTCTGCTCTGTTGCCAGGAGAGCCTCAAAAGTCCAACACAGAGCTAAACATGTCTCGCTGTCCTCAGCTTTACAACATCCTCCTCGCTCTTTTGCTCACTCACACAATTCCCTACAATGTAGCAGCCCTTCCTTCCTTCCGATTTGGTTGCTCCGGACAGCTCGTCCCTCTGAAGTGCATATCAAGGCACTAGAAGTAGCCCTCTGGTCTCTGTTTACAAAGGACTCGCTGGACCAGTTTCTTATATTTGCATCATATACCTTAATCTTCACCACCCTAAGGTCCGCAAAACTGAAAGGTCTCAGCTGATTTTCAAGAGTTGTTCTGGCTAAGCCTTTGGTGTATTTTCAAATGTTTTAGTTTTTTTTATTTTTTATTCATTTTTCATTACCAGACGATGACAGGGAAAAAACAAACAAACAAACAAACAAACAAACAACATAAAAAGAAAGAATGAGGTAACAGTCACATATCAAATGTTTTGAAATAGTAAATGTGTTGGCTCTTTAACCCTGTCTGTATGTGGCCATTACACAGGATCACGGAAGCAGGAAACCCAAGAACTGAAGTCTCATAAATGCAACCAGTGCTGAGGACTCAAAGTGCAATTTTTCTAGAAAAAGAGGCGCCGGAACTCACCATGAACCCTTGTTCTCTTAGAGTGGTGCCCCCACCTGAGAGGTGCCAGAACCCAGTTTTTAAAGAACACATGATCAAATGCTCTGGGAGCTGTTGCTTAGTACTTACTTTGTGCTAGAGCCAGGAAGCAGTTTCTGTCTCCACCAGGTGAGCAGCAATGGATGCCCAGTTCATAGTTACAGGAGCGGTTTATGGCAAATTGTAAAATGTTTTTATTGTTCTGACTACACAGGCTCACATCAGCAAGATCAGTCACAGAGGTTGGCCGTAAAAACCCTCACTATAGCCAAACCATTTCCAATTAAAATTCACAGTCTCACAAAGGTGAAGTAAACCTATATTCCTTCTAATACATCTTTGCTTTGAATGCTCAGCTCCAGACTCGGAGGTTTCGTTACAATCATGTGGTTAAATAGATTTTGTTAAACACAATTATAAAAGCCATGCCTTATAGATACAGACACATGCATGCAGGACATTCATATGTAGCAGCAGGAGTGGGACTGTGCTACTGGCTCAACCCCCAACACTGTGTTCCCTCCACCCTGACTTTCACATGTTGAGCAAAGAGGTCTGAAAGAGAACTGTTGGCACAAGCTCTACACAACTGGGAAGCCCATGCAATCAGAGATGCAATGTTGGGGTGGGGAAAAGAAGCATAGCCCTGTTCCTGCTGCTACATTCAAGTGCCCTAGACACAAGTCAGTGATTAGAGCTACACTGAAGGTCCTTTGGGACGCAAAGTGGGAACATATTGATCTTTAGACCACAGCAGTGACAGAAAACACCAGGCCTCTCTTGTCTTCAATGCTGTTGGGTCAATTCTAATTGACGTTTCCCACACTCATCCCAGTTGAGCACTACACTTTAACCACAGGGCATGGTACCAAGCAACTGAAGGATCTATTTAGCATGGTGGCTTCCCTTGTGTGAGTTGACTACCTTTACCGACAGAAAGGGATGGAGGAAGGAGAAAGGGAGATTCTCTGGTCCAATGCTTTAATCAGTGCAGACTGTGACCTACAGCCTGAAGGGTTGGCAGATGCTGAATCAATGCATCAGGAAACTGGAGGAAATGTGCCAACAGACCCTTAGAAATGCCTTCTGTGCCCACTCTCATATAGCTGCATCATCTCAGGGTGGGATTTTTAAAGGAAAAAGCAGAACCTGGATCTAGTGGAGATAAGCACAGCAAAAAGAAGAAGAAGAAGAAGAAGAAGAAGAAGAAGAAGAAGAAGAAGAAGCAAGCAGCACTCCCCTCCCTTAGTCACGGCTTTCTTTTGTGCTAGAGCCAGGAAGCAGAGAAAACTGAATTGGGCACCTGTCCATGGAATCTATGTTCATGACCTCAGGGGAGAGGAAAAACCCAAGCCAATAACCACACAGCACACTTTTATTTGAAATGGTTCCGACAGGCAAATATACATTTGTCCCAATTTTGGAAAAATGTGCATCTAAGTATATTTGCTAAATGACACATGGGTAAACTACGAGTGTACAGTATATTTGTAGGATAAGAAACTGTTGGCAAAGTGGTTCTTTAGGCAGAGGTTGGCCATAAAAAGACTTTTGGCCCTTTGTAAAGTGTCATGCACACCAGTGGGGGTTGATAAATAATAATAATGTTCACAAATTTTAACTGCTTTTTTATTCATTATGATGACATATCATAAAATCAGAGAACTGGAAAGGACTATGAGGGCCATCTAGTCCAACCCCCTGCAATTCAGGAATCCTGCCCAGAGTCATCCCTGGGTGGACTCGAACCACCAACCTTCTGGTTAAGAGCCAGATACACTGACACATTGCGCCACTGGAAGGATTTTAATGCCTTTCCAGTTGCTAGGTAGACTTGAGGCATCTACAAACGCAGTGTTAGCAAATTATTATCAAAGCAGCTTTTCTTCATAGGGTTTCTATTTTACATTCAATACTCATTGGGTACTTAGAATGAATGAGAACACAGGAGAAATGACTTTGAAATGGTAGCTTTGAAAATAGTGATGTTCAAGATTTTAAAACTGCACAGTATTAACCTTTGTTTTTCAAAGAACAAATGTAGTCAGAGAATCCATAGAATTGTAGAGCTGGAAGGGACCCATAGGGTCATCTAGTCCAACCCCCTGCAATGCAGGAATCTCAGCTAAAGCATCCATGACAGATGACCCTTTACAGTGTTTTATACATTTCCCCAATTGGGATCTCAAAGCTTCTTTTTAAACAAGATTGCAGTAAGGATTTATACAGTGCACAACAAATACCCTACATACCACACAGTGTCTCATCCACCTCTCTAGCTTAGAAGCAGTTTTAAGGTAATAGCACATATTAGCCTAAAAAACACCTCACATCTCTGGATTTATGGCTCATTCAATGGCTGCAAACTTTCCCAAATAGGAAGCAGATATAAACCTTAAGGAAGAGATCTAATCTACTCAGGTTTGAACATAATTTTTGCCTTAGCAGCTGTCATTGTCCATCTCTATTCCCCCACCCTGCATGATATTTACATTTACGGAGGATTCTCAAACTTCTGGAGGTTAAAATGAGCAAAGACATTCATAGCACAGCAAATCTGGAAATAATCAATGCAGTATAGATTAAACTGGTAGTCGGTTTGGTAATAAAATTCCAAATTAGAATTTCTTGCCTGGCACTGATTTAGAATTCTGTGCACACTCCACACTGACATTTCACTGTCAAATCTTTGTACATTAAGCTTTAGGAAGAGAGATTGTGCAACAGCCTCAGGATATGCTTGAAGAAAACCAATTTTTGTACCATCAACTCTAATTGCCTTTAAACTAATGGAAAAGAGCGAAAATAGTTAAGAGACCATGAAAAAGGGGAAAACTAGAAAGTTTATGCTGCAATCCTTAGAAGTTCCATAGCACATTTAGACAGATAAATACCTTTTTTTCTTCATTTTAAACACGAAATATCTTACAACCTCTTATTTCTCCTTATTGTCTATTATTCAGGTATATCCCAACTTAACAGGACAGACTCAAAAAGCAGCGAAGGGGATCTCTCTCTCCATCACACACAGTATACTCTATCCAGGCCACCAAGAGTTCAAGGACACATTAATTTAAGGGATAAACATTTGGAGAGAGGAGGTGTGGTAGACAATGGGGTGCGGCCCAGGAAGAGTCCCAAGGGGCAGACAGAGAGGCTCGGAGAGTTATGTTTGGTCATTGGGCATGAGGTTAGATAGAGAAATATACATTCATCCATCCACATTGGACTGGTGGGAAGCTTCTAAGTTTCTTAGGTAAGAGACATTCTCAGTCCTACCTGGAGATGCCAGGGGGTGAACATGGGACATTCTGTGCGCAAAGCAGTGCTCTACTGCTGAGCCATGCCACTTTCCCAAGAAGATTCCCCATTCCTGCTCAAAAGGGTTTCAAAAGTCATCTAATTCAATCATTGGGCAAAACTCATCCATCACGCCTGTACCAATCACTCCACTTAATCCAGATTGCAGTATACTAGACAGAGCACTTTCTGCCCTAAGCATGTTTCCTTGGCTGTTAAATCCTACCAGATTTAATATGGGTAACTCTGAAATTAGTACACCTTATGGTCACAGCCAGTATTTCAGAACCTTACAATTCCTTTAGATTCCGAAATTACATCAAACCCTTTACTTTTGAGATTTTGGTCATGGCACCATAAAAAGAACAAGCCCAAGAACTGCCAGAGGCAGCAGGACTCTTCTTTCCATAAAATATGGGAATAAAAAAGTACGTAAGGAGATGACTGTATCACCCCCTGCAGCATATTAAGAGCTTAATTTGAGCCAAGGTTAATGCCTAGATTCCTCTTTGAACACATTTCCCTGCCAAACTAATTATCAATGCATGTGGTAGTTGCACAAATCTGCCACACAATAAACGTTTATGTAGAATTTTGTAATGTGCAAAGCTGCCAGAAGGAACCACGACCAAGCTGTACTCCGGTTTGGGGGTGGGGGTAAATGCTATTCCAGCTAACACTGGTCTCCAGCAGGTGGGTCAGGACCCACATGGTTGCATTCCAGGATGGGTCGCAACAGCTGCGCTACCACCGTGCAAATACAGGGCAAGAGAAAACCAAAAGGCGTCCTCACGCCCCCGTTTTAGAGATGTGGGTCTGAAAGCACCCTAGACTACCGGGCTAGAGTCCCACGCACCCTCCTTTCCCAACCAGGCACTGTTTATTTACTTATGTAACCATCACGCGTTAATACAAAGGGGGAGACAGGAAAGAGAAAGCCAACCAACAGAAAGCAGCAACTTAATTGCAGGGAAAAGGGAAAGAAGCCAACAATTAGCGTTCATAATTCCCGAAGGGAGAATCGAAAGCTCATTTCCCCCGAGTCTGGCGGTAGGGTTCTTGCAACTAAGGGGTATGTAGGTATTTGCAGAGACTAGTCCACAGCAGGAGGAGGAGGAGGAGGAGGAGGAGGGAGGTGTCTGGGCTGCCGCATTCCCGTCCTCAGGCGAACGTGCCTCGCCAGGATCACTAACCTGCAGTCCGCCAGCAGGAAGCGCCGCAGCGAGAAGGGACGCTTCGTGTGACCGGGAAAGGGTTCCTCCAGGAAACCACCCCCCCTGCACAGAGGTTCCGTGGAACGGGACGGCGCAATGGTAGAGCTTATTTGTTACATACGGATCTAAGGAAAGATCCTCGCAAGCCTGCGGTGAACGGGGTCGGGACCTGCTGTTTTCCACCCTCAGTTTCTCAAGCTAAAGGCTTAAGCGGAGTGGCTTCTCCGGTGCTGCTGCTCTTCAGGAACAGATCGGTGATTAGAAGCACGCAGCCGTGTTTCCAGTGGAGCAATTGCAGGCATGGTCGCACGCGTGCACGCGCCCCCCTGTGGCTTCGCCTTGCACACGCATCCAGAGCCGCAATAGCCCGGCTGCTTTCATTTCTTTTGCCTTTCAGAGTCGGACCCTTGACCCTTCTAGGCTCCAGGGCCGGATTTATGTACATAAGCTAAACAAGTTATAGCTTAGGGCCCCACTCTCTTGGGGGCCCCAAAAAAATTTAAAGGAAAAAAACCAACCACCTGGATGTACATTTCCAAAATATAAGATAAAAAACAAATAAAATCAAACCTACATACAGCAACAGTGTTTTGTGTTGTGTAGGCTCCTATGATGTAAGTCAGTGTTTTTCAACCACTGTTCCGCGGCACACTGTTGCCTGGTGTGCCGTGGAAAAATTGAAAAATTTGAAAGATATATTTTTTTTAAAAAAAATGTCAAATTTTCGCCCACAGGCGGTCCGCTCTCATCCGATTCCCCATAGAGAGCAGCGGGGCTCTGACATCTCCCTCTCTGCACACAGTGGTGGTGTGCCTCGTGATTTTTTTTCATGAAACAAGTGTGCCTTTGCCCAAAAAAGGTTGAAAAACACTGATGTAAGTAATGGGGCCCCCGGCTGCTAGCCTGCTCCCTAAAATATCACTGGTTTGCTCATTTCTATATATAGAGTGCTTGCATAAAATATGTATTTTATGATAAAATATGTATTTTGTTAAGTGCAAATGGCTTTAGATGCCTATTAGGTCCATAAATTACCATATAGCACATATTCAACACAAAAACCGGTGACAATTTGTTGTTGACAAAGGACAGCTGGACATATAAAGGGCCCCATTACCTTCAGTAGTTTAGGGCCTCATCAAACCTAAATCTGGCCCTGCTGGTAGCCCAGCAGTCTCCTGGGACTGCTTCATGCTTTGCTGCCTGAGAAATGCAGAGATGCCTGTGCTTTCCGAGATATAGCTTCCTAGGTGGAGATCGCCACAAAATTCAAGCTAGGACCATACTAGTCTGGACAGCAGGAACTGACCAAGCAGCATCACTGATACTGCTCATTAAATGGCCAGGGAAGTATGAGAATCTAGGCCTCCTCCAGATGACCTGTTTTTTGAGCATTCGTCCTGACTGGCGTGCTGAAAGCTGACGCAGAGGTTAGATTAGATCTCATTTTTCTTTATAATTCGTTCCTATTCGTTTGGAATGAGCGTTCCAGACAAGAAGCATTCATCCGGCATTGTTTTGCAGGGTGTTTATCTGTCTTCCTGTTAATCATTAATTCACCATTTTTAATGCATTTCTCTGCCAGTTCCCCAACTGCCAAAAATCATTTTTTTAAAGTGGATGTGTTGTGCAAGGGCAACAGAGCACATGAATCCACTTTGGTTGTGCAAACCTACATTTCCCAGTTTGTGCTTGGATTCCTCCTGCAAAATACTGACAGTCTGGAGGTGACCTGACTGCCACCACAACCAGGCAGTATTTTACTGATGCATCCAGTAAAATTGTGTTCTCAGCGAAAAAGCCGATGTCGTGGTTTGAAAAGCCAATAAACTTCTACAGAGAGAGAGAGAGAGAGAGAGAGAGAGAAGAATGGTGGATGACTAACCAAACAGTATTGATCCTGAAACAAGAGGTGGTGTTTTGAAAGTGCCAACTTTGGGGAAATTCAGATAGCGAGAACTTGGTAAGCATCAATGCTGTTTACTGTTTAATGATTCTGTTCTTTCACACCCATTTTAATGGGGTGAAATGATCATATTGTGGAATTAATCAAAGTGCTTGTGAAATCTACACAGGTGTTCCAAACACAAGAAAAAGAAATCCATACCTATTATATGCAAGAAGGCTAACAGTGTCAGCTAAGGAAATGTTAATATTACACTAGCTATATGGAGGGTCTGTCATATACCAACACATTTCATAATCATAGACTGCAGTAAATTAGTGTAGTGTTTCTCTAGGTAGTATGCTGTCACCTAGCAGCAGAACAGGGAACAGCATGCTTAATATCACCAAATAGGTACTGTATAAGGAGGGCCTTTTACCAGCTTTATTTTTTATTTCATAAAATTTATATACTGTTTGTTTTAAAAAAACTAAAACCCTCAAAGCAGGTTACCAAATGAATAAAACAATAAGATTATTAGTAAAATTAATTAAAATGTTCAAAAAATTAAACCAATATCTGGGTCAAAGCAAACATGTTTTTAGCCAAAAAGAGTACAGTGAAGATGCCATATCTGAATTGGGATCACTTGGTCACTGTAGTCCATCTATCTGTAACCTTAAGAATGAGAAAAATCTGTGTGGGACTGCCCTTGAGCCTGGTCCAGAAGCTGCAACTGGTAGAAAATGCTGACAGCATAGTACTCCTTTGCTAAAGCATCTGCACTGGCTGCTCATATGCTTACTGAGCCAGGATCAAGGTTCTTGGGTTGATATACAAAGCCCTGAACAACTTGGGCTCAGGATAAGGACCACCTCAAACCTTATGGTCCATCTTGATCACTGAGATCTTCCAGAGGAGTGATGTTAGTTGCTCCCCATGGCCTCAATTAGAAAATGGCATTACCACTCTTCTAGCAGAGATGTAGCAGTTGTCCTCTCTTTTTATTTTCTGGTGTCTTTTTAAAATCCTTTTGAGCTTACAGCTGTTTAATTTTTGATTAGTCAGTCACCATAATGATTATCTGTTTTTTTTTAATTGAATGTTTTCTTTTTTGATAGTATAATATACGACTTTGATATTTTATGATATGGTGGTATAGAAATACTTTTATAAATATGAATACTAAATATGTTGAATAATTGTATTGGGTATCTGCAGAATTTGAAATGGAAGCATTTTAGTGTGTTTCAAGTACAACAGCTCTTGGACATACATGTTTCCTTCCCCCAAGGAAATAAACAGTAGTGCACTGCTCAAACTTCGAATGATGCTCCCTTAAACTTTTGAACCCAGAAATTTTATATCAAAATGCAGGACAAGATAAATCTTGGGCTAGGTTGAGTTGCTAATTTTCCAGGTGAAAATTACCTACGAAACCTTGTGATGCCAATTCTCAAAGCCATTTCCTGATTCACTGACTATGATTATATTGTTATGTAAATAGAGACTTGATGACACCCACCGCTGGGTAGGACAATGTCCACACTCCATTCTCAGTTCTCTTGCATACAAGCTGAACCTGAAGCTGTATGGCGATTAGGGCTGCTAACTTTTCACATGTCCAATATACCTGTAGGGAATATAGGTGGTCATTTCCATTTGCATGCTTGGGAAAAGTGGTATAATTTTGCACATCAGTCAGTTGTTACATGCACAAGAACAGGCCATGCTGCCTTTTATTTTAAATGTGCAGCACTACTGTTTTGCAATATCACAATCACAAAAAAGGCTAAGCTCATATGTACAGTAATCATGAATAGGACTGACACACCCAGACTTACATGTGGCAGCTGTCAATCAGAAGTCCTGCAGCCATGAGGGGAAACAACACTTGTGGAATTTAGTATGGTGATTACTACAGCACTGTCAATGTGAATGACACTTCCAGGGTGCACGAGGACAGATCTCTGCCCTAGAAGCTTACAGTCTATAATTCACATGGTTGTGTGAGGCAACAGAGGGAAATGGAGTCTTCATTTGGGGAAAGGGGATGCCTGAGTTATTCCACTTACAGTAGAGCACTGGGATGACTGGGTTGTGCCAAAGTTTCCTTCGAAAAGCTGAGTTTTGAGGCAGAACCTGAAGGAAGTTCTGTGAATCAGGAGTGAAGCAGTTTCAGGCATGAAGGGCAACAAAGAAAGAGGCAGAAGGGGTACGAAACCTTTGGACTGTGGCGGGTGCTAGAGCTTGAGAAACAAAAGCCACAGGTGGGGATGTCTTGGTGCAGGAAGAGCAGAGAGAGAAAAGAAGGCAAGTTAAGCTCTGGGGGACCAAAGCTCAGTGGTAGAATATCTGACTTTCATGCAGAAGGTTCCAAGTTCTTTCCCTGATGACATCTCCAGGAAGGAGTGGGAATGTTTTTTTCTGAGACCTTGGAGAGTTCCTGTCAGTCAGTGTAGATGGTACTGAACTATGCGAACCAAGTGCCTGACTTTGGTTTAAGGCGGCTTCTTATCTTTCTAATCATGTCTTCACATCTGTGAAAGGTACAAAGTCTTTGGGAGGGGGTTTGTTTGGCAGACCCAAATGTGCACAGACATTCCTAAAAGTGTGGTTTTCTTCCTCGTTGGTACACCGCCTCCAAAAAAACGAGTGGGACCCCTTCACACAGAGAATTCCACACTGTTTCAGGAAATGTAGAGTTAACTCAAAGCCAGCAGGCCCCTCTGTTTTCTGTTTTTACATTCAAATGCTCTTGGGAAACTGGTTTCAAATCCCACAAGGCTGCTCCAATTCTCACTTTTGTTTCCATAAATTAAACGTATGCTTTCAAACAAAACCTGCTAAGAATAGCAGGTGGGCTGCTTTTCTGTCTCCATGTGCAGCATTTCCACCTATGATGTTACTAAGAGGTAGAAAATAGAAGCATCTTTAAAAGAATAGAAAGATTCCCCCCCCCCAAAAAAAAATTAAGAAAACAAACAGCAATAAAATGCCAGTGCTGATGGCAATTCACATGCAGAGCAATCTTTTGAAGGCTTCCAGCTTTGACACAAATAGAAATTACAGAGCATATAATTCATATATCCATACTAATTAACTTGTTGAGAGATATCCCCTCCATAGCATGGTGTGGGTCACTGGGAACTGATGGGGGTGTTATTTCTGTATATACGTAGCTGGAGAGTGGCAACAATACAGTGTTAAACCTACCATATTTAGCCGCACCTCTTATTACACTATGATGAGTCAAGTGTTCTGAGAGAGCTACTTCCTGTTAGAATTCCTGCTCCATGATTGCAGTCATGGGATTGTTGTCTTTCACATGACAGTATATGTTTTGACTCCACAGAGTGGGATGTGATGGAGACAGGATGTTTGTGTTACTGTGTTCCGTGAAGTGTGATTATTGTCCTTTGTCCTTTTTC